ATTTCCACTATTGGAAAAAGAACGGCGTCGCGGTGAGCTGGACGGTGTTCTCAGATCCAGAAGTGTTCGCTCTGGACCGATTGTCAATGTGACGCAAATGAACTCCGCGACTGTGCCTTTTTTGTAGAAATGTGTGGTCTATGTCACGGGAAGATTCCCCACAGGTACCGCCGCAAGACTTGATGAATTGATAGAGCAGAATGCTTTAACTATGGGGGTTTTTAGGACACATCGATAAGTTCTCAATGCACTTCAAATAACAAATCATGAAATCAGACGAAATCGCAAGACATGACCAAAACTAATAATCCCCATTAAAATTACCTTCCGGATGATTGCTGCATCCTCTTCGGTTTCCTCACGCGCATGCAGATTTCTTTCAACATCATAAATCGTTGATCGAAGCTTGTCAAAGCAATCAGCAAGGTTCAGATGTCTTTCACGGGTCCGATCACTCTCAATTATGAGCTAAAACATGAGATAATGTGGCAAAAAACAAACCACAGAAAAACAACAGAAAAAGCAAAGAAAAAAAAATGAAAAACAGATAGTTGAAACGAAGTCGAAAGAACACTCACCTCTCCTTTCGCATTTATTCTATTCGCAAGACGTTTGGCGAGACCATCCTTTAACTCGTCCGATAGCCATTCGGCATCTGCCAATTTGAACCTGATCTCCACCTAAACAGAAACGAGTGAAAGAGATCTAGCTAAGATGTCCGCAAACATCAGAGACAGAAAATCACTCAAACTACAACATCATGAGTTTCTGATTACTTATGATAAGGTGAGGCGTTTTATAACTAACACTCCTGAGGACAACAACTGAACAATGCCAGATGCGATAAGATCATACGCACTAATCCCGTGCTTTCTGTCATAAGGTTGCTTACGAAGAGCGAAAATGAAAAATGACGCTGACAGAATTGTTTACTGGCTGAAGTTTATTCAAGCGAATTCTACTCATACATTTACGAAAACAGCAGACACGTACCCAGAAATATAGTATATACTTAGTATAAAAGTAAATACTGAGCTACACCCCGAACTGGTGTAATGCACAGCAAAATAAAAAACTACTGAACGGCTACTATTATGGCCAATAAAGCGAAATTTCTAGCCACGGAAGGATCCCAAGCCGCCCTGGTGAACTGAAATGAGATGCATATCATTGGATGCATCTTCATAAGCTGAATCCAAATGTCTTCCTTATTTGCTGGACGCTTCTTCGAATATAAAATATCGAGATGAAAATGTCGTTTGTTATTGTTGGATAAGTTATTACTTGTAAAAAACAGCGCCATAAGCTGATGAAAGTGTAATTACTTTTTGCATGTGTTTGAGATTAAAAATGAAAAATATTCAACTCAAAAAGATCTACTTGTGCTGGAAAAAGCAACGTTCTTTCCTACTGGTGGGGAGAACAAAACAATATGT